AGGAGGGGGGAGGGGGAGGGGGAGGAGGGGGAGGAGGGGGAGGAGGAGGAGGAGGAGGAACAAAAAAAGAGGAGGGAGGAGGTGGACTAGGCGGATGACGAAAAGAAGGAAGAGGATGCAAGAAACCACTGTCGAGGGCCCACGCTGGCCAGCATCTGCTAGCCCCCCTGGGGGAGGAGGGGGGGGGGGGCGCGCCAGGCTGCGGAGGCCCTTTTGGGGGGGGGGGGGTTGGGGCCAAGCTGTGAAGCGCTTCTAACCTGAAGGGTTGCTGCTTTGCGCGCGTTGTGTGCTGCCTCTTGTTGGAAGCTCTGGGGGGGGGGCGCCAGCCACCGTTCGTGCGCCCAAGTGCCTATGCCTCCTACATCGCGGTGATCATGGGGCTCTCAAAGGCAAGGGGTCGGAGGTGCCAGAGCCACGGGTTTCGCTGGAGATCCCCCCACAACCCGGGCACGAACGGGCAAGTGTAACACCCCCTGGCGGCCCAAGGGTGCTCAAATACCACGCTTGCTATATCCAGTGATCCGGTGGCTCTGAAAAAGGAGGAGGCGGGCGCTCCAAACAGGCGCCTCTCTCGAGACAGCTCCACAATCCGTGCGCCAACGAGCACATGTAGCGCCCACTGGAGCGTTCAAGTGCCATGCCTGCTACATCACAGTGCGGTGATCATGTGATCATGGGGCTCCGAACGGAGAGGAGTCGGGTGCGCCAAACGAGCGCCTCGCTCGAGAAGCCCGCGCGAAGGAGCAAGTGTAACAACCCCTGGCGGTTCCCCCTTGGGGTGCTCAAGTGCCACGCTTGCTGCATCGCATTGGTCGTGGGGCCCTGCAAGGACAGGAGTCGGATCCCCCAGATGTGGTCGCGAGCAAGCAAGTGTCCCCATCCACAGCGGCTCCCCCGTGGGGTGCCCGAAGGCCGCGCCTGCGACGTCGCGGCGATCATGATGTTCACGAAGCAAAGGAGTCGGAGCCGCGAATCGGGGAACAAAAAATGACATTAACATAAAAACTCAGAGGTCCGCGCGGATTTCTCGGATCGGCGCTGGGGCCCCCCGGCGGCGCCTCCAGCACCGCCCCTGGCGCGCTCCGCGCGCCAGGGAGGGGGGTCCAGCGCCGATCCGAGAAATCCGCGCGGACCTCCGAGTTGTTATGTTTATGTGACTTTTTGTTCCCTTAGAAACGAGCGCCTCGCCCAAGCCGTCCCCACAACCAGGCCTCGAGCGGACACGTGTCCCCCCTCCCCTGCGGCCCCTCTCCAGGGTGCCCAGGTGCCACGCCTGCTACATCGCGGTGATCACGAGGTTCTCCGAGCAGAGGGGTCGGAGCCGCGAAGCGAGCGCCGCGCGCGAGACCTCTCCAGAGTCTGGCCTCGAGCGCGCAAGTGTCCATCTCTCCTTGCTCAACTCGCCATCGCTCGGACGTCCATTTCCCGTGCATTGTTCGGTCTCGTGCGTGTGTTCTTGTTGCTCGATGGTCCAGGATCGTCCTTGATGGTTCTCGCCGAGAGAACATGCACACGTCCGAGCGATGCCAGGTCAAATGCCACGGCTGCTCCATCGCGGTGGCGATGGGATTCTCAAAGCAGAAGCCTCGGAGCGGCGGAGCGAGCGCCGCGCCCGAGGCTTCCCCACCATCGGGGCATACCCCACAGTGCTGACCGCGGAAGAGCGTGCGTCCCCCTCCGAAGCGGCTGCTGCGTGGGGTGCCCAAGTGCTGTGGCTACTACGTCGCGGCGAGCATGGGACATCTGAGTGCGAGCGAGTCTTGGTGGTTGCGCGTCTGAGTGCGAGTGAGCCTGGGTGTGCGTGAATCTGGGCACGAGTGAGTCTGCGCATGAGAGAGTCTGATGAGTCTGTGCATGAGTGTGAGTCTGAGTGCGAGTCTTGGCACGAGAAGTCTGAGCATTGGAGGGAGAAGGGGCCGCGTGTGCGAAGCCTGAGCACGAGGAGGAAGCGGGCGGGAAAGAGGTGAAGTAAGGAGGCGGAGACATCACACTGACAACAAAGAACCCACCTCAGGATATGGGGCAGGCCCGATTCCTCGAACTCCTGGCCGCCCGACTCCTTGTTGGACGCCATTGCACGGCCAGGAGGGCCGTAAAAAGGCCTCGATGACGGCCTCAAGGGGCTCCGGAGAGGGCTTCGGGGAGCCCAAGAACGCCGACTGTGTTCCAGGAAAACAACGAGACGCCCTCGAGAGAGCAAGAAACCTTGAAAAGCAGTGCGTGCAAAGTGTAATCGCCTGTCTCACGGCTTGATCCCAAGATGACCACGTATCGCTTCAAGCCGGCCCCGGGATTACGAGAGATTGCCCAAGACGTCCCAAGCCGGGCTCCAAAGGCTCGAAGATGCCGCCAAAATCGCCAAGAACAGCCCAAAGAGGTCCCAACAAGATTGCCCCACACGATGTCCCGAAGATGGCCACAGAGGCCCCGAGATGCCCCCGAGAGGCCCCATGCCTTCCGATATAGTATCTGCACGATGGCTCAGCCGTGGGGGGTAATTAGCAGCAGAGGGCGCGGTCACGCTGATCTGTAACACCTATAAGTGAGGTGCGCGCCCGCACCTACACTTACATGGGCGATTTGGGACAACCTGAACCCAAAAAGGATTTCATCTCCTGGAGGCGTTTGTTTTTCTTCCGCCGTCTTCCGCCGAGCTTCCGCAAGCTTCCGCAGGCTTGCCCCGGCGGAGGCGGCCTCGCTTTACTTCCGCCGACCTTCCGCCGCCCTTCCGCCGAGGAAGAGATGACACCTCTTTCTATCCTCGAAGGCAAGACCATTCTTGGAACGCCCCACATACATGCAAACACAAACAAACAGAAACCACCAAAAATGCGCGCTCACTGCTGCTAGGTGGCCCCACGCCTGGGAGCAAGCATGACGGCGGAGAGGAGATCGCTCAGCCTCCACAAGGAGCTCCCAGTCTCCCTCTGACGTTGCGCGCTCCACGGACGCTCTTTCCTAGTCACTCCTCCCTCCTCTCTCCTCCCTCCTCCTCTGCGTGGTCGGCGCACCCTTCCTCTCTCTCTCTCTCTCTTTCTCCCTTTTTTGTTCTCTCTCTCTCTCTCTGTCTCTTTCCCGTTCTCTTTCTCTTTTGTTTGTTCTCTCTCTCTCTCTCTCTCTCTCTCTCCCCTGGAGCATTGCCTGCCTCCCGGGGCCTGTTCGGTCCTGTCGAAGCCGAAGCCTCTTGGGGGCCTACGCGGTCCTGTCGGAGCCTCCTAGCGGACTCCTGGGGGCAGTCTTGGGGCCTCAGAAGCTCAGCTGAGGCGAGAACGCCAACACACGCAAAGGGTGCTGATGTGCCTCACATGTTTGACTGATGTTAGCACCTCGGGCGTCTCCTCGGGGACACCTTGAAGACTTGATGTCATCTTGAGCCATCTTGAGCCATCTTGAGCATCTGGAGCCATCTTGAAGCAGTCTTGCGCTGGCTCGGGGGGCCTCCTGGACTGTCCTGGGCGCTTCCTGGGGCTCGCGTAAGTCGATTCGGAGCGTTTGTTTGTTTTGTTTGGTTATCTGTTTGGGAGAATCTTGGGGCTCTCTTGTGAGCGTCCCCGGGGCCTTGCAGGGGCCTATTCGGTTCTGCCACGGCCTCTTGGAGCGTCTTGGAGGCAATATTGAGGCCTCGGAGACGCATCCGAGGCGAGAAAGACGACAGTGCCCCCCCGCCCCCCGAAAAATGTGCCGCTGGGTTTCTGAAGGATGTGACATCCTCGGGCGCCTCCTCGTGGGCCTCTTGAAGACTCCGTGGCCGCATGGGGAAACAGTCGGTCATCTTGAGGGCATCACATCCTGAATTGCCTTCGAACAATTTTGGATCGTCTCGGGAGCCTCCTGGGCTAAAACATTCGGCCATCTTGAGGGCATCACATTCTGAACTGCCTTCGAACAATATTGGACCGTCTCGGGAGCCTCCTGGGCTAAAACATTCGGCCGTCTTGAGGGCATCACATTCTGAGCTGCCTTGGAACAATCTTGGGCCGTCTCGGGAGCCTCCTGGGCTATGCTGGGTGTTTCTTGGGGCTCTCTTGATCCGTGTCGGAGCATCTTTTGTCTGCCCTGGGAATCTCTCTCAGGGGCCTCGTGTCAGCTTGCTGGGACCTCTTGGGGGCCTAGTCGGTCCTGCCAGAGCCTCTTGAGGCCCTCTTGGGGAGCAACCGCAAGGCCTCGGGAACTCATCTGAAGCGATAAAGCCAAACATGCAACAAGTGATGATGTTCCAAAGGTTTGAAAGATTTTACGCTCGGGCGGCTCCGCGGGGGCCTCTTGAAGACTTGTTGGGCACTCTTGGGAGCACATTCGGCAGTCTTCAGGGCATCTTGAGCCATCTTGCCGAAGTCTTGGGCCGTCCCGGGGGAACTCCTGGACTGTCCTGGGCGTTTCTCGGGGCTCTCTGAGGCCGAGTCGGAGTTTATGTTGGCCGTCTGGGAGGGGCTGATGATTCCTACCACTGACATGGAGCCCTGGAGGTTGCACTAAAGCTCCCAGCCTTGGAGAGATGCATACACAAAATCATACGACTATACATCTGTATGGGCTGGTCGGTGTCTCAGGTACGAACTGTCCGGTGATAAATGAGCAAACTCGAACCAGCGGCCAGAACGACTGAACTGCGAACCGATCGAGCACTAGGAGATAGGAAACGCTCTCAGAAGCGAAGTGCTCGTTGTGAAAACGAATACTTGCACATCAATGGCATGCAGGTGCCACGAGAGTATGCATACGTACATGGTGATTAACCCCGAATGGAGGAAGTCACAACGCAATGACAGGGTCATGGGAGAAGCGGGCGCAAGCTACAACACGTAGAAAGGGCATGGCTTTTCGGTGGCAGGGGAAGGCAGCAATCGCCAATGATCACGGTTCTACACATTCCTGAAGCTCCGCATAGATCCAGCCGGTCCAGCCGGTCCTCTTTGCATGAATAATCCAAGCCTTCCCGAACTACAACCTAACCACCCAGACTTGCCCTGCATGATTGCAGCCATGCTGGTGATGACGGCCTCTTCGCGTCTGGTTGCGCACCCTCACCACCCGGCCTCTTCTCCTGAAGACTTTGTCTGCTAGCCAAGTCTACAACGGCGGAGAAATGAGCAAATCGGGCAAGCGACCACCAGCAAGCAACGCCAGCAAGGAAGAGCGCTTGGCAGCAGGACAGCATATTGGGTGCAGAAGCGGGTGGGAAAGCGAATCGGGAACATGACATGAGGGATCGATGCAACGAGGCATGAGTAGGAGAGTGGGCAGGAGCTCGGGCTTGCAACAAGAATCTGTCAGGGCGACTGCGCGGTACCACCAATATTCAGGGTGCAAGGACTAAGCTGACACGTAAAGAACAACAGCCGCGTTGAGTGCTAGCCACCAGGGTGGAAGGGCCAAGGGGGTGCTCGTCGCGAACCAGAGTGCCCACGACAGGCGACGACAGGAGCAGTAACCACGGAGATGGCGGGAAGATAAATCGAATGACAACTGTTTTTCCCCACCTCCAATAGAAGCTACAAGTCCGCTGCCCCTCACGAGGGCGATCCACAAAAACGAATGACAACTATACCTGTGATGATCGGGGGCCGAGGCAGCGAGACCCCAGCCACTGCCCCCGAGACCTGCCACACCAGGCGCAAGCCAGGCAGGACATAAAAGCGAGTTCAAGCGACAAAGCACTAGCAAAAGACAGGGCGAATGAATGACGGATCAAAAATAGTGTGGGGGGGTGGAATACGATTGAGAGGGTGAACGTGGGGGGCGCCGCAAACCACAGGAGAAGAGAAGGACAGGGCGCAGAACGATGAGGTAAAGCGGGATTGGCACGAAGGATGAATCCTTCTTTTCCTTCTTGTCCTTCTTGTCTTTCTTACCCGCCTTCTCTTTCTTGCCCTTCTTGTCAATATTGTCCTTCTTCTCTTTGGTGGCCACGGCTTCCTAATACGCGCATAACATCGACAACATCCCGACCTGTCCCTCAATTCCACCCACTCCCCACAGACCGCCTCTGCCCGATGTGTGGAGGTCTGATGAGCCGCGCATGGTGCCCTCGTGACGAGCGCGGCCGCACCTCACCTCTGCCTCATCCAGCAGCTACCGCAGCTGCGCGCGGGGTCACGTACCTCGCCTCGTCACCAGCCGTCTGGACTACTCCGACCAGCGGGATGTGACACGTCTTGCGAACGTGTTCCAAGAACGTGTTCCCTAGCCACGATCAGAATACACTGCGAGTCGGAATGCCGACAAGCGCTCCCAACTTCGGCTGGCCCCATTGCCCTGCTGCGGCCACCATCCCCGACTAGCCCTGACTAACACCATTACGCTGCTGCGGCAGCAGTTCCACCAGTTACACAAATCTTGCTATGAGGAATGCCAGGACACATCATTCGTCGCCCTCGAGAGTTGTACTGTATGGTTCCCAACGGGTATCCCGGCCTTTCGGGGACAAGCTCTCGTGGGGCACCCTCTGGCAAGCCAACCTCTTGTCCGTGGGCCTACCGCAGCCGCCCCCTGCCCTGATCAGCCCTGCCGACCCTCTGGGGCGACAGCTCCAGCGGACGCCACTGGCACGACCTAGCCCAATTTCCGCGCTGCGCAAACGACCCGAAGGCACCGCTTGCCTCGCCTTGCCCCGACTGCCCTCGACCTGCCCTGCTACGGAAACAACAATGCCAGTGACCGCCGCTACCCCCCACCAGCCGCGACAAGCCCTGCTGCCACGGTGCGGCGACAGCACTGCCCCGACATCCTCGCGTCGTGGAAGAATCACGGCGGACGGCTTCGGACAATGTGCGGTCTCCGGGGGCCCTCGATGGGACTTGGGGCCGTCCGAACAGAACCGCTCGGGGCGGAAACTGTCCCCAGGAAGAGGCCCAAACCTCTGGGGAGGTGCGCTCTGAAAAAGCAGCGACGTCGGATCTCTGGGTGGCAGCCGCAACCAGCCAGCCTGGCCTCGGCTGGCCACTGCGCGCCCCTGTGGCGACAGGTGCCGGTCGTCGCCGACAGCCCCAGCCAGTCCCACCGTCCTGCCGTGGCGACCATCCCGGTGGCCGCCACCCGCCCTGACTGTAGCCCCGAGGAGCCCTGATCGATGATCCTCAGAACGTGTGTTAGCCCCAACGTGTGTTTGTCCATCGGTTCCTGCACATCCACTTCGGCACCGCCTGCACCCTGGGCCCCGCCGGCTCCGGCCGCCTGAGGCCCCGCCTTCCTGTGCCCTGTCTCCCTAATTGAAACTGTGCGTAGCCCGCCTAGCTTTTAGCGGAAGAGGTTCGCTCTCGCCCCGCAGATCAAAAAAATGTGTGTTGTCCATCGAGGCCCTTCGATACGACGCAGGCGATGTCATGATCTACTGGTGGGGCCGAAGGGAGTAACACACACACATGTGGCCAACACACGTCCTGAGGATCATCGACCTGACTGGTACCAATGCCCTTCGTCGGCGACAGACGGCGGATTCCGAAACCCTGGACCCAAAAACGTTTTCATCTCTTGTGGGCGCATCTTTCACTTCCGCCGCCTGTCGCCAGCCTTCCGCCGGCTTCCGCCGGCGGAAGCGGCCTCGTGCTATATCCGCTGCGCTCCGCCGGACTTCCGCCGCCTTCCGCCGAGGAAGACATGGCAACTCCTTCTATCCTCGAAGGCGAGGCCCTTTGTGGAGCGCCTCAGATCGTGCCAGACGCCAGGCTGACGGGGGAACAACCGCGGGGACTGGCTCAGGAGGGGAATATGGAGCTGGAATCGGCGATACGCCGCCGATACATCGGCGAGAGGCCCCTGACAGCGAATCGACACGCTCCTGGGCGGGGCGGGCTCTGAGGCCCCCATCGGCGATGAATGGGAGACTGGGGGTCGATGCAGTCCACCTGAGCCTGCCCCCCCCCCCAAAGTTGCCCGATGGCGACAAGTCCGAGCATCTTCAACTTCGAGGCAGCTGCCCAATGCCGAAGCGTTTCTTCTCGATCTCTCGGGGGCGGCCAAGGGGGGGGGGTCCAAGAAGGGGGGGTGCAAATCATGCCTGGCGGCACGTGCGCGGCCCAGCGGGGGGGCCAGGGACGCATTAAAACAAGAAGAGGCGCCAGGACATCTGGGGAAATAGCATGGCCCCCGCCATGATATCCACCCGCCCCTAGTCATCACCCCCCTCTTTGCCGCCCCCGAATCTCGGCCTCCTGGAACCCGTGGTGGGCCCCGGGACCGTCAGAAGGCGGCCCAGTTCGATGAGCCGGCCATTGGGGAGCTGGGACGGGTTTCGGGAGCTCGGTGGCCCGAGCATCGAGAGCAACGGCAGCAGACAGGGTGAGGAGAACACACGCACGCACGCACGCACGCACGCGCGCGCGCACGCACGCACGCACGCACGCACGCACGCACGCACACAGACACACAGACACACACACACACACACACACACACACACACACACACACACACACACACACACACACAGACACACACACACCACACTTACCACACACACACACACACACACACACACACTTGTTTGGTCTGCGGGTCGAGAGCGGGCCTCTTCCGGTTAAGAGCTAGGTGGGGCGCGCAAAGCACTAATTGGGGAGACAGGGCGCGGGCGGGCGGGGCCTCAGGCGGCCGGAGGGCGCGGGGTGCAGGCGGTGCTGAAGAGCTTGCACAGGAAAAGGTACACCTTGGACAGGAGCCGGAGGCGAAGTCCCGGAGGGGGAGCGGTGTGGTGTTGCCGTCGACGGCGCGTCACAATCACCATCCTCAAGTGCTGCGTGCGGAAGGACGTAACCAGGTTGACGTCGGGGGGGTAGAAGTATACACACACACACACACCACACACGCGCACTTCGCAGCCACCCAAGGAGCCGCGAGGTCCCGTCTGGGTCCGCGTACAATTCCACCCCGGTGGACCTCCCAGAGGCCCAAGAGAGTGTCGACGGTTGCGCACATCGTAGCCAACCAGGGAGACGCGAGGTCTCGACTGGGTGCGATTACAACCCCACTCCGCTGGACCTCCCGAGAGCCCAGGAAAGTGGCGACGGTGTTGCACTTCGCAGCCGACCAGGAACCGCGAGATCTCGGCTGGGTGTGCATACAGCTCCACCCCGCTGGATCTCCCAGGAGCCCACGAAAGCGGCGACGGTTGCGGACTTCGCAGCCACACAGGGAGCTGCGAGGTCTAGGCTGGGAACGCGTACAACTCCACCCCGCCGGACCTCCCAGGAGCCCACGAAGGTGGCGACGGTTGCGCACTTCGCAGCCACACAGGGAGCGCCGCGAGGTCTCCGCTTACAACTCCACCCCGCTGGACCTCCCAGGAGCCCACGGAAGTGGCGACGGTTGCGCACTTCGCAGCCACACAGGGAGCTGCGAGGTCTAGGCTGGGTCCGCGTACAACTCTACACCGCTGGACCTCCAAGGAGCCCACGAAAGTGGCGATGGTTGCGCACTTCGCAGCCTCCGAGGGAGCAGCGCAGGACGAGGCAGGAGGAGGAGAAGGCGAGGAGAGGATGCCACAGTGCCTTTTTGAAACGACAACCCAACACAGAACAATACGACAAAAAAAAACACCAAAAACACGCATCAGATAAAAAATGGCCGACCTCCCCCGAGATCCGGCGTCCTGGAAAAAGCTCGGAACTCGCTATAACCATCACGACCAGAGCTTCGAGGATCAAGGGTGCGGGGGCGTCTTTCGCCCTTGTGGAAGCTCTGTCCACCACTGGATACTTCCGAAGCCTCCAGAATCCGCCAAAGGCCTCCAGGTGCTCCGAAGACTTCCAGGTAGGAGGAGCTGGAAAATACGACCAGAGCTGCCGACTCCGTCATTCTGCGGGACTTCTCGAGCCGTACAAGTTCATACGGGGCACCGCGGCCCGAAGCGGGGCAAAAACGCATGCGCGACATGTGTTACGACCCGTAGTTCTCGGGGATCGCCACCACCATCGTCGTCATCACCATCGTTTTCACCATCGTTTCCACCATCGTCATCACCATCGACATCCTCACCATCTTGATCATTATTACCATCGTCATTACAGTCGTCATCACCATCACGTTCACAATCGTCATCACCGTCGCCATCGTCATCGTCATCTCTATCGTCATCTCTATCGTCACTACCATCATCATTACCACCATCGCTATTGTCACCCATCGTCATCACCGCCGTCTGGATCGCCAATCATCACCAACGATATCACCACCGCCATCGTCCTCATCATCGCCGTGACGTCATCAACAACAGCAACAGCATCACCACCCCAACCACCACAACCATCAGCAGCAGCATCATCGTCAGTATCAGCATTATCGTCATCATCATTGCCATCATCATCATCACCATCATCAGCATCATCATCTTCATCATCATCTTCATCTTTACCATCATCAACATCATCATCATCAACATCATCATCACCATCACCATCACCATCACCATCACCATCACCATCACCATCACCATCACCATCATCATCATCATCATCAATCATCACCACCACCACCACACGCACCCACCACCACCTACCACCCTCCTCATCATCATCATCATCATCATCATCATCATCATCATCATCATCATCATCAGCTCATCATCAGCATCATCATCATCATCATCATCATCATCATCATCATCATCATCATCATCATCATCATCATCATCATCATCATCATCATCATCATCATCTTCATTTTCATCTTCATCTCCATCATCATCGTCATCATCATCGTCATCGTCATCAGCATCACCATCATCATCATACTCATCATCACCAGAGTTGTAACCCCATCCCACGTCACAAACACTCGTGGCCGCGCCCCATACGGCCCCCGAGCGGTGCCTGGACGACCGGGGCCGCGACAAGCACCGGATCAGGAGCCGGAGCAGGAGCAGCGGCAGGAACTGCCTCGAGATGGCGTCAAGTCGGGCCTGTCCCCCTACAGGAGGATTTTCGACGAAAAATAAAAAATACCCCAAACATAATCAACAAATAGTCCAAACATAGTCTTTGGATTATTTGTTGAATCTTTTTGTTGGCCTTTTTGGGGTATGTTTGGGGTACTTTTTATTTTTCGTCGAAAAATCCCCCTGTAGGGGGACACGCCC